ACTAAGCTAGCAATAAAGATTTGTAGGGGATTGCGACCAGAATTCGCACCCGGGACTCCAGAATGTTACGTTGAATTGGCTAAACAATGTATGGACTCTGATCCAAAAAAAAGACCTACTGCTACATATATTAATGCGTTAATTACTACTTGGATCGACGAACTTGCGCATGAAAGCAATGAAAGAATAATTAAACTTCAATTCTTAGAAGCTGATAAAATGGATAAAGCTGACAAGATGGATACAAAACTACCAAATATCGTGCAAAACCATCCAGATCATAATAAGTACACATCAAAGCCCATTAACATGCAAGAGGTCACGAAAGCATTGTCAAAAATGGCAATTATCGGCGTTCCGGTGGATATCGTAGAAATTCCAGAAGAGTGAAGAAATCGCGAATCGATTAATTAAAAAAAAACCATGATTCTTTACTAATTATGATTAAAAATAAATTCACATAAATTGTTTCAATACTTTAGTGTATGAATTTTAAATCCACCCCTGCATGATTTTGTATTTTCGATTGTTGAATTAAGCCGATGAATTAATTTTGCTGAAAAATTTTATATCGAATACTTATATATAAATATGTATTTATAACCAGCGTTGTACATTTTGTTCAAATGCTTTGCCATGTTAAAACTTTTTAATAAATTTATATAAACAACTCGACGAATTCTTGGAATTTGACTTTTATCCAAAACCCCAATTATTTTAAAATTGACCCTTAGTTGAAAATTCCGATTTATATCTAAAGTCTGATACTTAATAATCTAAACTTGTTTTTAAAACCTAAAATCTATTAGAAGTTAGATATATGTGGAGATTTAAATAAGTATACAATATTGGGCAGTAAATGAAAATGTTTCTGTTATTATTTATGTATCGTATATGCCCAATATTGATGTTATCCGACGTTTTATATGACCATGTGAAATTTTTCCGTGATATTTTGCACAAATGATTACGTAATCTGTGCCAAAAATATCATGACAAAAAAATTCCTAATATCGATATTTACACAAGCAATTTTGAAATTATTGACCTATCAAGTCGAATAAATGGTTCTGTGATGATTTAGCATCACTGGTTATGTCAGTAACTGCTACTGCTAATTCAGGAAAAAAACTTTATTGAAAAAAAGCAACAAAATTCAATTATTAACATATCAAAAAGCACAAATAGGTGTCGTACATTGAGAATCAGCTTAGCGTTAGATTGGAACAGAATTCCAAATGCAACCCAAGTTGATAATCGATAAATTTAAATATAGAGTTGATTTTAAACAATAAATATATAATTGATTGACGTAACAATTGTTAAGTAAATTACATCATATCGTCATGATAAATTGTCAAAATAATTATTTTTCTCGTTTGTCTGATAACTGAATCTCAAGATCGTCCATTTTTACCTTATAAAAGATTCGAAGACTTGCTTTCCGAATACAGGAATATCTTGGTCGTAAATCGATTAGTAGCCGACCCAAATCCTTTATAGCACATAAGGAGTTTTGATTTTTGTGTTAAGATTTTACAAGATCTAGCAAATACAAGCACGAAGATCAAAGACACTTCTTGCAACCCTTGAAGTTTTGGAGAATGGTATATAGATCTTGGTTAAAAATCCGGTATTATTGAAATTACTGACAAGTTTCCAGAATTAGATAACCGTCGATATTGTAACGAACTCTGAATATAACGAATCAAAATTTTGAAATTTCACAATAGTTCGGTATAAAAGTGCAATAGGTTCTTAATAAAACATGATTTTCTATCTTTATTTTTTTTTCTTCAACGCACATAAGTGTTCTAAGTGTCTATTATGCAATCCTCTTCTCATGTAAATAATATTAATGCAAATGCAAAAACTCTTGCGGCAAAAATCTATTGTGAATAAAAAAATGTATACTGTGGAAATGGTTTCCATCCCACTAATCATAGATGTAATGCTTTTAAATTTACGATTGAACAAACCTATTTTAAAATGATTTAAAGTACTCGATGAATTAATTTGGAATTCATTTAATTTTATTGTAAGTTGAATTGAAATTCTTTAACGACTCGGACACAATTTAAAATTCTATTACCACTTATGTTTATTTGGAATTGACCTAGATGAAATAATTCCATCCCGACGTACAACATAGATACACAACTAAATATCAAGCACAATTCACAAATTTATGTTTAACGTTTCGCCAATCATCATCGCACCACTATCACTAATTGAAGAAGGTTTAATCGTGAACTTAAGGTACGTATTGTAGAATGATAAACAATCATAACGCACATAGTCATTTTAATGTTGGTGTGGGACCGGAGAATGAATCTTTACTGTACCGAATGGAAGACTTGGATCTATTGCCGCTGAGATTTATCAAAATCCTTTGTAAGTTCAGCAGTGTGATTTGAAGAGTAAAGTATCGATATTTTTTTAAGTAATACTGAGAATTTACAGGTTACTCCTTTCGTTTGGCACTGGGGTCTGACCAATCATGTGTATGGCAAAGAAGTGTTTGTTACATAGCTTATATATTGAATACTTATCCGTCACACCATAATTGGTCACACCCTAGCGTCAAATGAAAGAAATTTTGATTCGTAATACTGAATAACAAATGCCCGAACTCGATTTTTATTGGTCAAAATAACACATATATATGGATACAATAAAGACCCTACAATAATTTTAACTTCCAAAAAAAACCGCTATACAACTATTTGAGCGCATTGCCAAACTTGAATTGTACATTGCGTTTCGATCTTTAGTTTCCAGATCAACCACAGCAACTTTAAAGTTTCCAGTGCATCAACCTAATATCAATGCAAAGTCTAATTTCACTTATCATGCAAAAGAAACTACCAAATAAATAATCCTTGCTCGCCTCAATCGAAGTTTATGTTTGTATTCTCGAGCTAACTTAGCATCGTAATAGAGAAAACTTCTCTAGGTTATAACTTCATGCATATGTATGGACTATAACTATACATTTTAAAATACACTTTTATTTTTCAATCTCGTTATGGGGAAGTAATCTGACTAAAAAAACTTTCATATTATCAATATCGATTTTTTGTTAATTGCGTAATTGTGATCCGATCCCGATTTAATTAATTATTGTATATCACGTGAACGAGCTCTTTCAACGGTCGAAATAAAGTAAAAAAATATACACATGTTATTCAACTAATTGATACTATGTTACTGAGTAGTATATTTACTAGAAGACACTTAGGCCGTTCTCAAGCGTCTCCCTCAATGTGTTTACAAAACGATCTGATTGGCCGAAAAAATGTATCGTGATTATCACTTAGGTCAAAAAAACCTGGAGCTACAACCGCATTTCGAACAATGAATTTTTAATAATTCGTTTTTCGATTAACCGTAATAACCACTCAATTAATCGTAATGCTTTGAGCAACATCTCGATCACTAGCTAATCACATTGAGGGAGCTGCTTGAGAACACCCTTAGTAAATAAATTTTGATATGCTATTTAAGTGAATCAACATACTCTACTGCATAGGTATTATATGGGCTAAATGAGGAAACGGTTGATGAGATTGAGGATTTTCTATTAATCCTGAGGGGTAATAATATTTTTTTATGAAACGCAAAGATAGCTTCTTGTTAATATCAAAAATCTACATTTTTAAAATGGAATAATTGTAAATTGACAAAATATGAGGAATAACTTTTCTGAAACAGGAGAATTAAAAAACGCGGATTTCTAAAATATATTTCTTATAATTATGTTTACTTTTGCGTGTATATCAATATAATTTTTTTTTATTGTAAAAGTAATCGACAAGTTCCCTGACAATAGCGGGCTTCCATAGTAATTGGTTTATTTTTTTTAGATAATCTGCAAAAATATTATTGGTTAATCGAAATCCACAAGCGTGTATTATTTTGCTTCGCATCTCTAATTAATTTTATTGGCAATATATATCTGTCCTTATTATAATAAACAAAGTATATAAATAAATTGACGATAAAAACCTTTCAAAAAAATTCAGAAATACCATATACCAAGCTTAATACAGTATTAGATGATATTTATGCTTATTTGTTAAATTAAAACACCTAAAAATACCTCTCATCTAACTTCCAAATTACTTCGCAGATTACGAATTACTTTGATAGTTTATAAAGTAATGCATGAACTTTCTAATTTTTTTGTCTTACCCTTTAGCAATTCATATTTGTGGCTCAGAATTCAGTCTTCTGACAGAAAACTATTACTTTAATAAGACTTCATTATGATAAAACAATATTCAAAAATTAGCTAATCATAATAAAGCCCACTATGCTCAATGCTACTGGTTCACAATTCGTTATACATTTACTACTGTTCATGTTTTTGTAACATTGATCTTTATAAGAAAATCAAAAAATTAGATGAGAAAAGATTTTCTAGAAAATAGAATCTGATAAAAAATAAATTTTGGTTAAATAAAAAAAATTTTATATTTGCTAATCAGATAAAATTACTTGAACATTAAAATTAGCTCTAATGTAAAGTGAATAAAATTTTTAAAAAATTTATAATAAAGTCAATATAATTCAATATATATTTTTGGGGGTTCTTTTATAAAGTACAGACTGATTCTTCTTTTAAGATCAGTAGATTTTACTCATCAAAGAAACACCAGAACTCATCTACTTGCGAAGATACAGATCCAAGTCGTAGTCAACAAGAACCGTAAGAAGCTAGATAACATCTTACAAGGATCTAACCTACTTTCATCAAGTCATAGTTAATAAGCAGTGCAAGAAGTGATTGGTAAAACATTACCATTTTGATCATATCTTCACATAAAACAACTAACCTTTCTTTGTTATATAATTTCCCTAGCACGTTTATGAACTTCTTGTGAAGCCTCTAGATCATTGCTGATGTTATACAAATATTTATAAAATTTTGGTGAATTTTCATCTTATCTGTATATATTATTACAAATAATGTATGTCTCGAAATTGAGTAATATCCAAAATTCACATGAAATTAGACTAAAATATCTTGTATAGATGTTTTCTCTAAAATAATATTATAAATATTATGAAAATGAGTCTACAGAAAAAAGAAATATTTTCATATATCACATGCATGGCATGCAAAACATGCAATGAATTCAGACCAGCATTAAAAAATCACATCAGGAAATTTTTAAATTGGCTGGACAGATAGAAATAAGCAGCACCCTGTCGATTGCCAGTGATATCGATTGATGCTGATTAATATCGATTAGTATCGTTTGTTAAAAATCAAAATAAATTAAGAGGTAAATCGCGGTTAAAGGGTATAAAAATAGCGAATTTAATAGTAAAAATTACCGGAAGTTGATATGGTTTTTCTATAGGGTTGGAATGCAGCTAGCTTATAATGAAAGGTTTTTTCATACCAAGTAAACCTTCCTTGAGTTTCTAACAAAGATTATATAACAAGTCATTCCGGTTATAATAGTGGTAGAATTGGCATTTTCTCCTTTATAACTATATGATTTTTATATAATTCCAGAAACTTTCGGCATTCCAACATTATATGAAAATAATAGTAATTTTCCGCCGATTTTTTTACTATGAAATTTATACCCTTCAACTGCGATCTACCACTTAAAATTGATTATTTTTAATCGATTTTGCATCGATTAGTAACCAATATCGATTATTATCGATTTTTCTAATCGATGGCAATCATCCTGTAGCTGGTAATCCATATAGGATAACTACATGAAATTGAATAACACGTTATTATTGGATAATTATGAAGCATGTGACAATCAACCAATTAAATTACATCATATTCGTAAACTTAATTAGTTTCACTTTAACAAAAAAATAAAGAAAAAAACAGGTCTATATATAGATTTTTTAAATGTCTATTATGACTTTTATACCGAACTACTAACTCTATTCTTATGTATTAACATTCTTTATGCTTTAAACCTCTTTAACATAGCTTGGAAATCGCTTATCTATTGTTAAAAAAAAAAAAGCAGCTGTACTGTTAGTTTTCTTTAAAAAACTCTGCTGTATTTAACGATTTAGTAATTACATATAGTTCTATAGTCACAACCTACGTAGAAATTTCACCTTCTATGTAAGGTGCCTCTAGATGTGAGATTATTTGGGATTATTTTGCATAGTGACTGGGCACTTTTTCAAAGATAGCGATGCGCTTAATTTTTAATTTTCACTTGTGAAATGTTACATTCTTAAAAAGTACTTTAAACTGTATAAATACAATTGTAAGTGATTGACCAATCAAAAGGAAGTTATCCTATATTATCCAAACTTTTCATGATGACATCACTATCTCCGAGATTATATACAAGAATTAGTGACTTATAAGACTAAACCGATGAGATTTCGAGAAACGAGCGAATTTTTTTGTTTCTCCCATAATTTATGAGAGTAATAATTCTGATAAAATACAACAAAATTCCCCCTCGTGATTTTTATCCAATTAGATCGAAAGATCAGGTGTAAAGTCACGAGGAATTTTTGGTGAGAGATCTACAATCGTTATGGAAAAATGACTCCAGGCGCAATGTTTAATAAAATAAATTTTACACCAGTTTTCATAAATTTTGGATGAATTACTGAATCTGAATAAATAAGTTACTGACGTTAGCTGGCATCAAAATTTTATCAATTCTGCTATTACCAATTTTTCAAAGTATCCCAAAATACATGAAAATAGCTGTAATACCAAAAGGGTTTTCGGTTGGAATTGAAAAATATTTCGATAACTAAAGCACGTAATTGGGCTGAAGGGGAGAGAAAGTATTTCTTCGTTCAACAAATATCAACCGCCACATCCAAAATTATGTTAAATTTAAGTTTCTTTATAAATTCATTAGCAATCTGCGCTTATTGATAAAATCTTAATTATTTAAATCAATTTACCTGCTTAATGGCTATTCTCATAAATTCTGTGACAACCAATTAATCGATGGTTATTTAACCGAATTTTGCGAAGTTTGCGCATTTATCATAGTATTGTAATACGTTGCAAACATGTTGTGTCACAGTTCTGTTTAACAGGATGTTTGAATATGCACTATATTGGGGATAGTACTTATTTTGAGCAGTTATTACAATTTTTTAATTATGTAGCATTATCCATTCACTTACGAAAATGACTAACGAAGTCACTCAAAGTTTAGTTAAAGTTTTTTCAAACTTATTTGAAAATTCAGAAGGTTTTGATGTAAGAATTAAAGTTGGTGAAGAACCAGATATTAAAGTATTTGAAGCACACTCTATAATCTTAACGTCAGGATCAAGATATTTTAAAAATGCGTTATCATCACGATGGGCAAAGAGGGAAGATGGAATTATCATTTTTGACAAACCTAACATTTCACCGTCTGTATTTGAAATTCTCATAAAGTAAGTATATATTTTTATAATTGTAATAGTAATAAAATTTTCTAAGGTATAAATCTAAAACAGTAATTTGTTTCTGTTAAATGAATAGCTATATTTATACAGGAACAATTTCAATTAAGGATAGTATTAGTATTATTGACATTTTTATAGCAGCTGATGAGATTGAATTATTTGAAGTTAATCGACTAGCTAAAAAACGGTTGCTTGAATTTGAATCAGCTTGGAAATTTCCAAAAGATTTTATTACAATATGTAAACATGATGTTTTCACAGATTTATATAAAATTGCATTAGAACTTGTGTGTAGAAATCCTAGAGTCATTTTTGAATCGAATGAGTTCCTAAAAATGGATGAAGATATTCTAATCCGCCTTTTAAAATGCGAAGATCTTAGGTTAGAAGAATTTGAAATTTGGAAATATTTAATTAAATGGGGAATCAGAAATACAGATTTTCCTTTAGACAATGATTTGAATAAATGGACACAATCAGATTTTGTGGAACTTGAAAAGTCTTTACATAATTTTATTCCTCATATTAGATTTTTTCAAATGTCATTTTATGAGATTTATTTAATTATTACTCAATATAAAAAACTTCTGCCTAATAATCTTCTTGACAAACTTTATCAATATTTTTTAAGAGGTTCATCAAATGTTTTATCAAAAAGAGAATCAGCGTATTCTTTCGATTCTAAGATTATTAGTGCTAAAGATGCAGCATTAATATCAAATTGGATTGATAACAAACAAGAAAGGCATTATCATTTTAAAGATATACCTTTCAAATTTGATCTTATTTATCGTGCAAGCCTTGAAAATTTTAGCATTAATAAGTTCCATAGTAAATGCGATAATAAAGGACCAACAGTTATTATAATTAAAGTTAGAAATTCGGGAGAAATAATTGGTGGATATAATCCATTAAGTTGGCGTAGTACGAAATTAATGAAAAGTGGAAATTTACCATCTAACGTCTACAATGATTATAAATGCGAAACATCAAAGAGTTTTATATTTTCATTATTTTCATTATCAAATGGAGCAATTCCCAGATTAAGTCGTGTCTTTTCTAAGAAAGAAGCAATAATTTGGTCTATAGATAAAGGACCATGTTTTGGCTTACAAGATTTGTGGATATTGTATAATCATTCACAGCATGTTACTGTTGGTAGATGTAAACAACACACTTACAATGTAGGAATTATTGACAAAGATACTTTTGAAATTGAAGAATACGAAATATTTCAAATTACCGATAAAAGATTCTTACTTAAAATACTTAATTCTATTGTGAAAAGATGTGGAATATGTGAATTATTTACGTTTCCTTTTTTTATTTTGACATTATTCGGTATTTTTCACTTTTCATCCGTTCTGTTACCCACGATATTTGCATTTGTTAATGTTGATATTCGAGTAAAATTTCTTGCGACATTACCTTCTATTATTATTATTTCCTTATATGCAATTTTGTCAGCATATCTTATTTATATAGGACACCTGTGTCTTATCCTTCCAGAAATTTTTATGTTGTCTTTTCTAGCATCTGCAACATTTGAATTGATTAGTGGCACTGCTCTAGTAAAAATTCTTTTGGTATTATCTTCTGCACTTCTTACAGTTATGTTTATATGCGTATTAACTTCCATCTTGGGATGTCTATTTAGAGGTCATCCTTAATGATTTAAATTTAGTCGTTTAACTCATTTGATTTTAGTAACTTGTAACTATTTTGTTATAGAAAAATTTAGGGCAGTATAGTACATAATAAGTTTGATCTATGTGGTACACAGATTTTTAAATAGGGTGGATTAGTGTTAAGAGAAATTCTGCTATGGGTCACTCAGTTACTCAGGGATTAAGAGAAATTCTACTCGTAAATAGGTCGCCTCAATCGTCCAAATGGTAGAATGAATCATAAATATATATATCATCAGGAAATTTTTAAATTGGCTGGCAATCGATTGACAGATAGAAATGTCAATCGATAAGTAGCTGATTAAGTATTGTTTGATTAAAAATCGATTAGCATCAAACTAAATTAAAATTGATTATTTTGCAATCGATCATAAATTTGACTAAAATATGCATGCATGAAAAAAACGCATGTGCTTTGTTAGATCCTTGATGAACTTAGCGATTAATACTGCTGGTCTTATCTTTAGACCGCAATGTTAATTCGTCTTGAGAAAGAAAAGACCCTCAAGTTCTTCACCATGAAGCATATTAAAATGATTTCATTAAAATTAAAGGTTTGTTTTCGTAAAAAAGTGGTAAGGTCCAGTTTTTAACTAAAAGTAAATCGTAAATGACAATTTAGTATGTATCTCATTAAAAAAAAGGATTAATTTTACATTGTAGTTTAACGCGTATATCTTAAAAGTGTTACATACAAAATTTTGGATGGCTAAAGCCATGTACGCGTTAGGATTAAAGGTATCAAGAATACGATTTATGCAAAGATGTAGATTAATATGAGTGACAGTCAGTGAAAACCTGTAAATCGATTCACTATCAAGAAACAACCCCTGATGAATCTGACTGTAAAATTAAAATAAATTTGATAAATACACAATTCTAACCTTTCTAGTCGCTTTTATTATATGTCTTATTTTGATCATTAAAGCAGAGCATTTCATTGCTAAGTTAAAAATAATAACATGCTATGTAATAAAGTGTTACTGAATAAGTGAATCTACTGTATATCGCAGAAATTACAAAAATTGGGACCCACATCAGCCAGCTTAATTTTAGCCAATCATAGTCCTTCATTATCAGCCAAATTTCCGTCATCACTTGCATGCTTTTCATAACGCGCTATTTTTTTTTAAATAAATGATAATAGTTCTTGATTTTTTTTTTCAAATATCTAAGAACTACTTGAAGGTAAGATATTCGGAAAAGAACCATTATTTATTTCATATTAAGTTTATACGAAACTGATTTAAATTGTTATTTTCCTTTGTAAAGAATCTTTCGTGCAAAAATGGCTTCACAATATGAGTTCCTTGCAATTATTAAAGAGGAAGTAATTTGTGGTACAACATTAACGACTCAATAGTTTATATAAGTACCTTTATGGTGTTATCCGAAATTTAACATGACTCGATTTCTCAGAATTCTGTGATATTATGCGATGTCTTTGCGACTCTAGCGACATTATTATAGTAACAAAAGAAGATCATGTATGTTAAATTGACATTTGCCAACATATGAAATAGTCATTAACATATGAAATAGTCATTAACGATAACTGTTAAATTATATTATTATTTTTAAGATGTGTTTGTCAGGAACCGATATAGCAGGCTGGCAACATCCTATTATTAAGTTGAAAGCACGAATGTTTTCGACATATCACGCATCATATGAGAATATTTATAAACTTTTTTCACCTGGAATAAAACCGATTTTTAAGAGTTTCACTAAAGTCGCAAAATTGATGTTCTATGTCAAACCGAATTCAGATCGCATAGTATTCGAAATTGGGGATCAAACTGGTAATTTACATGATAAAATATATATATTTTTTATCTCAAACTAATAAAATTAATAAAATTAATTTGTATATTTATATAGCTGATGTTATGAGGTTTTCACGAAGTTATACTAACCTCGCGAATTTCGATCTTGTGGTTTCAAACATTGATCCTAAGGATTGCAAAAACAAATGGACTATCATACCATCGATCATGAAAGAATGGTTGAATGAATTAGGTCGAACGGTGAACGAGATCACATTTCATCATATAAAAAATGAAGGAATTCATATAAGAGCAGTTGATGAAATGAAAGTAGATGAAGGTAAGTGAAAATATATTAAGAATGCCAAAAAAAAAAAAAAAAAACTTATAAATGATTTCAACAATCTAGATGGAGTCGGACAATCGGTGCTCTCAAATTTCTTCGTTAGTAAGGATACATTTCAAGAATACGAAATTGACAAAGCATGGAGTTTAACGCTTTTTATTCAACATTTAAGAGTATATACATTTTAAATAGCATATTCATAATACAGTAGTAATAAGTTAGTAATATATATTATACTAATATGTATTTTATATCAAATAGAAAATCTGCAATCTAGCATATTCTATGAACAGTTACCTTAAAGTACATTTCAGTACTGAGGCAGACGAGTAAGTGTATAAGTATGCTGATCAAAAATATGATAATATATTTATATGTTTATCATCATTTTTATAGAATGATAAAGAAATCAAATCTATTTCGGATGCAAATGCTTTTTAGTTCAGAAGAGGAATATTTTAAAATGGAAGCATTGATGTTTGGTAGTCTAGCTGGTTCGACAAATCCAAGTAATGTAAGAATTCCGCAAGCAACAATGGATGTTTTGGAGAGGAATGAAAATCCAGAAGATACATTACACATCGCTGAGGGTGGAATGATTTCTATAGAAGAGCACAGAATGTTATTACAATGACCGTGATTTAGATCGATTTGCATTGAGTGTAGGAAATGATAAAGTTTTCAATATCTATAAAGAACTTTGTTTTATTTAAATTCAATATATTTGTCAAATGTTTATGATCGCGTTTGGATTAGAATGATGAACTATAGTTCTCATGACTCATGAATATTAAGGTGCTATCTTTTATATTTCAAAAGGTTGTTAATTTGGGTCTCTGGCTTTCATTTTATTTTATTACAGTAAAATATGCATGGTTGTTGGTTTTAACTTTACCAACTAAACTGCAATATAACCCAAACGTTTTTTTTTTGAGAGAGAGAGCGGCACTTTGCCACAATGGTACTGTTTTAATTAAATACGTATGTACGTGCAGCCAATTACAATTGAGACTTTAAGACTATAATTTTGTTACTGCAATATAATACAATATTGATATGGTTTTTAGATCACAGTTGCAATTGTGCCACAAGTCGCCATATAACAAAAGATCCACGTACCTTGATAGTAGACCCTAGGGCTCCGCATGGACAGAGTAGGTCTGGTAGTAACCATACCCTTGATATAAGGCTTAACTTATTTAAACCCTACCTTTGCCTAAGGCCAAAACTTAATACCCCAAATTATAGACAACCCATGGGTACACGTGGGTTATCCGTAGAGATAATTGAATCAAAAAATTTTATGCCAAAATCTAGTTTATGATTATGCATTTGTTAGTAAAGATCGGTCAATTTACACTTTTTTATTTCATTTATAAATTACTTCTGATTATTCATTTTAGTGTATCATGTCTCATTTTCATTTACTTTAACAGTACTTGGTGATACTCATATATTATGGGTACCCATCAGTACCCTGTGCCGGATAGTAATAATACCCGTTTATATAAGGGCTTGATGCTTTAAGTCTGGCCCTTACCCAGGATCAAAAAATTAATATTCTAATCCAGTCTCTATAGGACTACCCACAGGCAGGGTTGGCAATGGATAAGGTCCATTGAGAAAATTATCAATGGAGTGAATGGAATAGTATCCATTGACTCCATTGAACCAACCAATCATATTTATATTATTAATATATTCTAATTTATATAATCACTAATAACTTTTGATCCTCTGCTCCATTTTGGATGTTTTAACCATCAAAAAATATTCGTCTTGATGAGAGGATTCTGGTAAAGTCAAAATCGCTAAAATACAATTACAGGATCTCAATATCACTCAAATTTTGTGTAAATTTAATAATAGTTAAAAACTCTTATTAAAATTACACAATATTTGAAGGATCTTGGGATTCTGTGATTGTATTTTAGTGATTTTGACTTTGTCAGAATCCTCTCACCAAGACGAACATTTTGATGGTTAAAACATCCATAATGGACCAGCGGATCAAAAGTTATCAATGATTTCATAAATTAAAACATATAACATATATAATATATATATATAATTTATAGTATTTATGGTATCTTGTTGGACTCCATTGGCTCCATTGACAAATTATTTTCAATGGAGGTTTACTCCATTGGGCCCAATAGACAAATGTGCCAACCCTGCCCACAGGGTATCCATGGGTAGTTCAGTCCTTTGCGGAAGGCTAGTAGATCCATTTGTATTATACCCACATCTACACCAGGATTAAGATTTTAGTGGAATGTAAGAGTCTCGAGTCTATTGACCTGTAATTTATATGATTAACCAGTAATAATAAAAATCAATGAAAATTTTATTATGAGAGCTCATTTAAGATAGATTCTTTCACTAATATTTGAGTCTGTTATCAAGGGTACTGGATGTTATTTTTAAGGATCTTGCAGATTTTATAAAAGATGCTAATCAGTTTTGAAATTACTGATATTTATGCATGTTATTTGGGTTCATTCACAGCAAAACAGCATAGTAGGCATTGATTTGATTGGACAATTGACACATTATGTAATTCATATTAGTGTAATATTTCACAGATACAAAATTGGAACTGCAATTACAAGTATAAAACTGTTAAGGATGTAACAAAAATATTAGATAGAGCAACCTCTATTCTATATACTGTTAAAGTAATTTAGTAATCTGTTAAGTAATTAGAAACTTAGCTAAGAAGCATTTAATAGTATTTTTTTATAATTAGCAAGATGTCTATGTAAGTAAATTATAACAATGCAGGCTTTAGCAAGAGAGAAGAAAAAAGAAAACATTGACTCTGTGATCTAGAAGGTCAATATGACAGATTACAAAAAACATGATACTTTATTTATAACTGATCAAGTAATCATTCCAATCTTAAGTTAATATTTGAATTTAATTGACAGAACTTTATGTTGAAAACATTACAATAAGTATATTGTAAATATCAAGAAATGTAAAACTGATTTTTGCTCTCATTCCAAACATAATATTTATTTAGTTGTAACTCAAAAGAGTGAAAAGAAAAAGAAATTCAAAAAGACTCCAGAATGGTTAACTAATTTTTTTTCATTGAAAAAAGGGACAATGATATGTATATATTATATATATTAAATAAATAAAGCTCCAAAATATGTTAATTTGCTTAATTATATACTAGTAACAAAAAAATTTCAAAAATAATATAAAACAATTTCAAGATAAATCATATATTTTACAAAGTAATGTTATTTACTTAGAATCTAAATTTTAGAAACTAATGGTTATGTATTATGAAGCATGTGTAAAGCTTAATGAAGTGAAACTGGATAAATAAATATTGAATTGTTATTTGATTTAATTGGTTCTTATATGATTATTTTTTTTATTTTTTTTTGAAATCAATCTCAAATTATTTTTTTTAGAATTAATTCCTCTTAGTAAAAAGGTTAAGTTGATGGCAGAAGTGTTATATACAAGCCAACAAGTATTTAATGAAAAACCTATCCTTGATCCAAATGAGTTTAAAAAAATGCTTGAAGAGAGTGAACTGTTATTAAAGAGTTTTTATATCAATTGGTGACTAGAATTAATCCACAAATGAAGAGTCACATAATTAATAAAAAAATAAAAAAAGATTAGTATCTTTTTGTTATTTTTTAGTGAATCTTAACAATAAATTTATCGATAAAGTCAAGTCAAAGATTAGGCTTTTGCTAAACATATTTAGAGCATCTTTATCAGTAATTGAAATATTAGTTAGTATAGAATTAATGATAAGACATAAAATAGTTACAAGACATAAAGCTTGTCATACAGAAATATATATGATAATAGTTGAAAAATTTTTATTAAAAAATATAAGTATATAAATTTTTTTTTGAAACAAATTAGAATTAATCAATTTGTTATAATTTTTAATAGATGAATAATTTGCTTATTCTTAATATAGATGATTTTTATAATATTCATGAATATGATCATAGCAATATAACTAATACTTATGATATTTCTCATTTTATTCTAATTCTTTTAAAAGTCTTGTCAAAAACATTGTCTATCTTATTTCATAATCCTAATCAAGAAAACCATATTTATAATAAAAAAAGAGTTGATGCAACTATTATTATAGAGAATTCTAATATTTATTTTTTTTCTCATTTATAACTTAGTTATATAAGATAAAAGCAAGTATTTGTTAATTTAATTTCCAAACCTGAAACTCATGATAAATAAACAGAACACCTTCTAATTCATAGTTATAATAATAGAATTGAACAATATCAAGTTAATTGAAATATAAAGAATATAAACCTAGTATCATTAAAGAAGAAATCTTTTTATATAACAAAAAATTATATGGATATCTTAAGTATATGATAGAAATTCATAAAATAAAAAATTATTTGGAGACACAAGTCTTAATTACATTTATAAATTATTTTGAGCAATTTTATATATGTTATACTATAATTCATCTTCTCAATACTAGAAATTTCTCTAAAATATTAGAATAAATTTTATATATTGTTCCTATAATTGGACTTTTATATATTCTTAAATAGTCATGAAATCATGTTTCTTAAAAATTACTAATTTTTTAATAAGCTTTATCATTATATATATAATAACAAGAAATTTTTGACAAAAAAAACTAAACCTTATAAAATTAATTTATTATTAGAATTAGCATTTCAAGAATGGTCACAAATATGTTTAGTAATCCTATGAAAATTTGGGAAGTCTAAAGAACTGGAGTTCAGATATCTTATTAATTTATTGGATAACATCATTTCATTAATATTAGATTTTTATCCTATTATTTTTTATAGTAGAAATTAACTAGTTTATAAAAAATCTATATTTTGTATTTAGATCATTTTTTACCAATATCAGTGCAGGCATTACAAAAATTTATCATTAATATTTTTAAATAATGTATTTTATTGAGACAGCACTAACTATTTTATTTCTCAAGTATTATCAGATTATATTCACATATTCAATAATTACTATGTAAAAAATTTCTATAACTCATTTAGATGACAAATACAAAGTCTAAGCAGCATAGATCCAATTATTCAACAGATACAATTAATCAATCAGACATGTGACAACAACTCCTTTGCAAATACTTTTTTTGAAAATTATAATGTTTGATATTCTGTCAAACAACTTGAATATTTTGAAAAATATACTGTACTTTTTTTATTAAATCTCTTTATAAATATTTAGCAAAATCTTGATAGATCCTCTGAAGTACATTCAAATTCTAATTTATATGAACTTTCAACACTTGGAGTTCAAGTCCATGCCAAAATATTGCTGATGACTTAGAATATGACATATATTCTACAAACTGACAGATTTTGTGATTTTAAGAATTGTGCAGATCATAGGTAGAAGTTCATCTAATTGACTAATAAATTCAATTTAATTTTAAATTATTTATATAGTTTAGAATACTTTTTAAAAAAATGAAAACCAACCATAATAAAGTAAAAAAAAACATATAGAAGGTTCCATTAGAGCTGTAGGCATAGTCAAAAATAAGATATTATTCTCGTCCGTTTAAAAAAATTAGCTTAGTAATAAGTTGATGCTATCGGGTCTTGAGAAGTTATTACTATA